TGAAAATCATATCATTACAACTTTGAGACAAACTACATCAAATTGATCAAAATATTAATGATATGTATTTACAATAGTTTAGGAGGGAAAACTTGAGCTGCTTGGCTTTTATATATATATAGATTTCTATAAAAAAAACTATGGTCGCCCAACAATTAAATACAATTAAGAAAATAAGTTTATCATAACAACGTAACATTTAATAGTCACTGCAAGTTTCTTACCGCTAGACGAACAACGTGCATTTATCTAACGGTAAAAAATTCAATGACTGCAATACAATCTCAACCTGATAACACCTATATTTAGAGGTGGAGTATCTATTGAGCTTTTTTTATTTTTTTATTTCTTTTTTTAATGAGAAAGCATTTATAGCATAAATTGATATTATCATAATTGACCTTTATTGGATATACATGTATACTAGTTCAACACCCGTGTATTACACGGGTGTTTGTTAAAAAATTATTTTAAAATTTTAAAATTAATGAGAAAATTATATTAAATTTAGTTTATTTTTTACAAAAAAATATATTACTATATATTTTAGAATGATGTGTGTTATTTATGTTTTACATGTGTTATATTATATTAGTTTTTATAACTTATATCATATAACTACTTGAAATATAAATATATTAGTTGATAAATAATTTTATTTTTCTAAATAATATTAAAAATAATTTTATTTTTTGTTATAAAGATAAATATAAATTATTTTTTTTATACATACAATATAGATTTTAAATCAAAGCTCATCAAAAGAAGATTAATTTGATATATTACATATGTAACATTGATAAAAAAATGCAAAAGTTACTAAGTTTTAAAATATATATACAATTCAATAGTTATAATAAGGAATGATATTAAAATGCAATTAATAAATGTAACATGACCATAAATAATCAACATATTTATAGTAATCCGAACCTAATTATTTTTGGTTTGGAATTAAATTAAAATTTACCCAAGCCTAATAAAAAAGCATGTAATTTTGCCACATAAAATTTCGAAGCACCAAAAACAGTCACGTAGACTCAACGCGTTTTGAATTAATATACAGGGGAGATTGTTGTCACACTAAACACGCTTGAAATCGTAAGTTTTTAATTCAATGATCTCACACTATAAAAAAAACCTATTCTTTTTGTACTTTTTAAATTTTCTTGTTCGATATTATATGGAGAATTCAATAAATTACAACCTAGCTTATCAAAATCATACACATGCATGTCACAAGTAATTAATTATTCTTCATAATAAAAATTTCACATATACATTTTGACAACACATCTGCACAACTCATGATCATCACTCAATGGCCGGATATTTATTCCGGCCATACCTTCTAGGCTCGGTCCACGACCCGACCCGACTACTATTCCTCCCATCATGACATTCGACACTAGCCGAATATCTTTTCCAATCATCGACGACCATTTTCATGTCGTGGAGTTTGTTCTTGCATGAGTCCTATGCAGCAATTGGCATGCATGGTGACCACCCGATCGAGATCCTCACTCGGCTCACAAAACCCCCCGGAAAATTCCGTGCCCAAGAACTTGATCCGGAGTCCGACCCGGATGACGTACGGGTAGAACTTGATCACGCCAAACACGTCTTGGTCGTGCTTGCCCGGGAAATAGTCCTTCCCCGCATACCAATACTCGTAGAATTGAATTGTCCGGTCGTTTGATCTCACGTACGTAAACCCTTTGTTCGGGTAGTTGCATAAATCGGTCGAGTTTCCTTTGTAGATATCGCACGCTATTTGGAAATCGGCGTCCGGGTTGAATTTCGTAAATGGATCCCTTAGCCACATTATATCGGCATCCATAAATTAAATATATAATAAATGGATCATATTTTCAGTTTTCGCGTATTTCACCAGTAGAATAAATATTTTTCACATCGGTTATAAAACGAGATAACGTAAAATCGATATAATAAGTCTCGTTGATATGATGTGACAAGTCTTACCTTTTATATTGGTCTAAAAAAACCTAATATAAAAAGGCAAAATTTAGGGGAAAAACAAATTGAAAAAGGTTTGTCACGTGGGTTAGTACGAAAATGGATGTAACATGACGCGTATACTCAAAATGCGATAAAACGCAATTCGAGCTAATATAAATCGAGTGATGAGAAACTGCTAACCGTGAATACAAAGTCAAATCCCATCTCAAGAACCGACTGCAAAAAATCGATGCGCCTCCACATCACTTCAAATAGCTCCCGCTCATGAAAAATGCCTGGCCGAAAAAGTCGACACCTTCGGTCGTCAGGGCAAAACAATTACGATGCACTTGCTTGCAACGCGTGTACGCCTTCCGATCGAAGGCCACGACCACCAAATGCTTCAAGAGCCTCTGTGTCCCAAAACCGATTCTAAAGCTCTCGAGAAACAAATCGAAAACAGTGTTCGGGTCGGTCCATGCAGCGTTCATAGTCGTTATTATTACCATTTTGCGATCCTCCATGGATGCCCTTTCCAATATGGTCTCGAAGTTATTGTCTTGATCATGATCTATGTTACCCTATCATAACAAAAATTAAAAAAAGTTACATGACTTTACTTAAATTTACAAATGTTACTTTTTCTTCTTTAGAAAATTGAGATGATATATACCGAAACCGAATAAGATGTGTGAGTTAGTCGAGCGATATAGTTCGTTTGATTCAAGACGAGGCACGTGAGGCCAATTACCAAAAAAAGTAACATGACTCTAATGATAGTGCCCGAAAAATGTCGGTGGCGGTTGCTCTTCTGGTGGTCGTCGATGCACGAGAGGGAAACTCCATATTTTTTTCTCAATTTTATGATAATTTGTCTCTTGTTTCATATTCATATTTTATGGCATGCTAAAAGTTATATATACATTAAGATGCAAATCATTGTGATTGTACAAGTTAAATGTAGGATATTTTGTTTCTCAAATAGGCAGTTTTTATTAAATTTCCTTTGATGGTCACTGATTTGGCCCATATATGAGGCCCATGAGGCAGATCAACTAGGCCTATAAAAGAAAGGCCAGATTTTATGTATTGTGGCCCAAAGAGTTAAAAGGCCTGAGTCAAGCGGGTTTTCATTTTCAAGGGGGAAAAACACAGAGAACAAAGAGGTGAAGTATCCTCCACGCCGCGGGCGATCAATCGACGGTCGATCTCCGGTAAAGACGGCGAACCGCAGACGGCGATACGTACTCGATTCTTGATCGAAGCTCAAAAAGAGGTGAGTTTCTACTAAAATCCGAAGTTCTGTTTGAATTAGGTATAAAATTTGAACTTGAGATGCTAAAGGATTTGAGACCACTTTAGATTTCGAAAGCTTGAGAAAGTTGGATGCCTTATCAACTGTTTTTGAGCTACGAATTTGATATTCCCGAGCTGAGGATTGAATATTGTACTTTTATTTTGTTGTTATAGTGGGATTGTTGATTGCTTTGCTGAAATTTTGAATATGCGAGATTTTATTTTATTTTTTCTTTCAGTTTTATGTGATTTGTATGAGTTGAGAGGTTTTGGATTTAATTTTTTTATTTTTTATTTTTAATTTATTGTATGGAAGAGTGTATGCTTCTTCGGTTAATGGATGAAATTTTTGTTTGGATGGGAAGCTAAAGAATTCCGATTACGAGTCTGTGTTTATTAGTTTTGAAAATTACAGGTTTATAATGATAATAATATGAGAGGAAATCGTAAGTTGGTCGAGCTGAATTCATGATTCAAATGTATTATAAGGTTTCGCAGAATGAAAGTCTAAATGGGCTATCATAGATGATGGATTACTCTAGTTAAGCATTTTCAGTTCAGCTAGCTGACCTGATGCAAATTACTGTCAAATTCGAAACTTTGCAAAGGTACTTGCACGAATGTCAAACAGCTCCATGGGTCTGTTGATTTTATTTCGAATGAGTCCTAGGGGTGAGCAAATCCGAGCCGAAACCATAAAACCGAACCGAACCGAACCGACACATTCGGTGCGGTTCGGTTTTTTAAGAATTCAGTTTCTGTGCGGTTTGGATTTTGGAAAACCGCAAAACTTTCGATGCGGTTCGGTTTTGTGTCCGAAGGGTGCGGTTTTAACCGAACCGCACCGAATATCATATAGTGACAATTTATTTTTTACTTACAGTGAACACGCTTTTCAGTTGTGTTCTTAAATTACAATTAACAACAATACAACATTAGTACATTACATTAAATTAAAGATTTTCTATTCACATTCTTAAATCTATTAATTCTCATATTCTGTATTCAATTTCATTTAACTCTCTGTGTACTATCTCAAGTCTCTCCTCGCAAGTCCACCGCAACCCTAGTTTTTTAACTCCCAAGTCTCAATCTGCAGCCATTCAATTTCGTTTTGATCTCGTGTGCTCAGCTCGTCCGCCGCTCACTCTCACTCCGGCTGTCCGGCGCTCGTTCACTCTCACCATCAAAAGCTCAGTCCGCTGGCTGCTCACCGTCCCTCGCTCGACTTTCCGCCAACTTCCTCGGTCATCTCTCATTCTCTGTCTTCTTTTTTTCTTTTTCTCATTATGTCCTCTTTCTTCAATCTGACCACAGCCCTAACTTTGGATTTTCAATTAATTTTGGGGCATTTCTGTTTCACGGGCAGGATGTTATTGACTTATTGTTATGTTAATAGATATAATTGTTTTGAGTGGTTTGCTGATGGTTTTGAGACTTTGGACTTATGTTATGCTGCTGTTGGTTTTGAGTACTATTGAATTTATGTTATGCTCCTATGGATGTTGTTGTTATGTAATATTGAACTTATGTTTACTGTGGATTGTGTTTTGTTTTTGTAATGGGATGTTTAAGTTTAGTAGATTGGTTTAATTTGTATGGTTTGATCTTAAGTTTGTGTTTATTCTTTTTTTTTTTTTAATTACGGTTAACCGAAAACCGCACCGAACCGAACCGAAAACTTCGGTTCGGTTTTTCCATCTCTTGCGGTGCTGCGTTCGGTTTTTTACGAAACCAATGACTATTAGTTTTTTTTTTTTTTTTTTTTTT